GGAGGCAAGAGGCCTTGGGTGTTTTCACTGTAATGGAGTGGGACACAAAGTCACAGTGCTGGTGGTTTAAGAAAGGCACTGGGAAAAAGGGTGTGGTACAAGATGCTAAACCAGTGGGATTAGTTAAGGTAGTGAAAGAAATCCCAAGAAGAGTCGAGCAGCTGCAGGAGAGTGCACAGCCTAGTTACGGGCTGGATAGTGAGACAGTGCTCAAGCTCTGCAAAGATGCCATCTCTGTGTGTAAGGTTTACTTAGTAAAATCAGGTGGAGAAGGTAAAGAAGTTACAATGTTGAGAGATATGGGAGCTGGTCAGTATCTAATAGTAAGAGATTAAAGTATTTGCACTCCTTCTGAAATGTTACCCGAGAGAGCCATAATCTGTGGAATAGATGGACAGAGATTTAACTTTCCCCTGTGTAAGATCAGGTTGGAAAGTCCAATCAAGTCTGGGGAAGTGGAAATGGGAATAATTGAAAGAGTGTCAATTCCAGGAACGCAGTTTGTTCTTGGAAATGACCGCGCAAGAATAAAAGTGGGAGTGATGTCCCTTGTAGTGGAGAAGCCAAACGAATACCAGGGAACTGAGGAATTAAAGGAAAAATACCCTGGAATTTTTCCAAGATCCCACAGTCAAAGGTTAAAGCAAGAGGGGAAAACCAAACAGAAAAACCAGAGTTGAGGTCCAGTTGGCTGACACCCTGTTTGATGAAATGGTAAAGGAAGAACCTAAGCAGATAGAGGATCAGGCAGAGGTGCTTAGTTCGGAAAGATTACTGGAGTTACAGTAAAAAGATGAGACAATAAAAGATCTATATCATAATGCCTGCTCAGAAAAGAAATTATAATGTATTCCCGAGTGTTATTATCTTAAGGATAGAATCCTAAGGTGAAAATGGAGACCTCGGCAGGTTAGTGCAGATGAGAAATGAGCAGAATTGCACCAGATCGTGTTACTGGTTGCATACAGACAGGGAGTATTATGGGTACCACACGAATTACTGGTAGGTGATCATTTAGGAGTGAGGAAAACTTGGGCTAAAATACAAAAGCACTTCAAATCGGCCTGGATTGCATAAGACTGTGCCGTATCTGTCATACTTATCCAATGGTAGAAAAGCCACAGGAAGTAATAAAACTAGTGCCTTCAGACAGGGAACCGGAGAAACAGGTATTAATTAGTGCCCCTCAGAGTGAGGAATCAGAATCTAAATCATTTGATTTTGATGTGCCTCAAAGTAAATTAAACAATGAGGAAGTCCTTCGGGAATGGGATAGAATAGTGAGCTATCTGTAGCAGGAACAGTGAATGGAATTGAAAGGTTTGCTGCAGAAATAGGAGGACATATGTGAGAATAGGACAGGGAGGACTAGTACTATAGTGCATGAGGGTGAAGTAGGGAATGCTATTCCAATAAACCAACACCCCTACAGGCTTAATCCTCTTAAAGCCGCACAGGTACAGAAGAAAGTGGAAGCGATGTTTCAAGAAGACACCATTGAGCCAAGTCAAAGTGAGTGAAGTTCACCAATCGTGTTGGTTCTGCAGCCTCATGGTACTCAATGGTTCTGTGTGGATTATTGGAAAATCAACGCGGTAACTAAATCGGTCTCATACCCAATTCCAAAGGTTGGAGGGCTGTGTGGAAAAAGTTGGATAAGCCACTTATGTCACAAAATTGGACTTACTCCGTGGTTACTGGCAAATACCTTTGTCAGAGATAGTGAAAGAAGTTTCTGCGTTTGGAACCTCAGATGAGCTGTATCATTTTAAAGCGATGCCCTTTGGTATGAAGAATACACCAGCCACATTTCAAAGACTTATGAACAGAGTTTTGGCAGGATTGACTAATTGTGCCATCTATATAGATGATGCTGTAATCTTTAGCCATTCATGGAAAGATCACATGGTGAATTTGGCAGAGCTCTTTAAAAGACTATGGGAGTCAAAACTAGTTGTAAACTTAGCAAAAGCTATATACGTGAATGCAGAAGTGACATTCTTGGGACCATAACATTGGACATGGAAAGATGACCCCGAGGAATGCAAAGACGAAGCCCATCGAGGAAATTCCAAGACCGTCCTTGAAGAAAGAGGGGCTTCAATTTTTTGGACTGAGTGGATTCTACTGGAAGTTTGTGCTGAACTTTAGTAGTGTGGGGGCAGATTTGCTAAAGAACACCACAAAATTTTTTGGTGGACAGAACAATGCCGGGATGCATTTGAGAATTTAAAAGCCGTATTAACCACTGCACCAGTTTTAGCCACATCAAATTTCTTGAAACCCTTTAAAGTCGCTATCGATATAGGGTTTGGAGCAGTATTGATGCAGGAGGATGATGACGGAACTAAAAGGCCAACTGGTTATTTTTCAAAGAAACTCAATATTCATCAGAGAAAATACTCCATCATTGAAAAAGAATTAGAGCTTGGTACTGGCCTTACAACAATTTAATGTTTATGTTACAAAAGATATTTTGGAGATCGTCGTGTGTACAGACCACAATCCTCTCATCCTTTTGCAAAGATTTAAGGACAAGAATATAAGACTATTTCATTGGAGTTTTTTGTTACAGGTTTCTAATTTACTAATTATAAATGTTGCGGGTTGTAAAAAGGTTATTCCCGACACGTTATCACGGGTTTAAAGAAAACCTGTAGTTAAGATAGAACCAACATGTTCGAATGGTACATGTTTTAAATTAATTGGTCAAATTTAAACTCGTTATCACAACATCAAAACAAGACTGCTGTTTTGCCTGCCACCTGTAAGGCTTTTTTGATGCACTTGTTTCACTTTTTGAGGCTCTCTGTACTGGCAACATCCAGATGTATCTGTAGTTAAGATAGAACCAACATGTTCAAATGGTACATGTATGTTGAATTAGTATGAAAGGTATAACTTTAGAATACTGACCTATGTATTTCACGATAATGGTGTTAAGACTTAGAAAAAAAAGTGAAGCCACCTTTTCATAATGATGCTTCTTTTCTTTCTTGATGCGGGATGTGTTGTGAAGTTGTGAAGTATTTGTGAATTGGAAGGCAGGAAGTTAGAATTTGTTGGCAAAAATAATAGTGAGGAAAAGAGTGCATAGTCCCATTAAGCGGTGAGCTTTAAAAAAAAATGCATGTCTGCGAGCAGCATCTGGAAGTTCCCAGTACAGAGAGCCTCAAAAAGTGAAACAAGTGCATCAGAAAAGCCTTATGGCTGGCAGGCAAAACAGCAGTCTTGTTTTGATGTTGTGACAACGAGTTTAAATTTGGCCAATTAATTTAAAACAAGCACCTACATACAGAATGCCAACTGAATTTAAACGTGATGGTGCTGAGAACATTGAAGTAATCCTACAAAAGACATACTATTACGTCATTATGAGTATAAAAATGGAGGACATTGTCGAATATCAGGGGACAGCCAACTGCCACCCAAAAGAGTGAGCCAACATTCAGCTGCAGCCAAAAGAAGTTTAAGCATGGCTCTCACAAACTCTGGAAGTTCTCCAAAAAGATCCATCAAAAGTACCACAGCAGTTTACATTAAAGACCTCACTGATGAAATTGCAGTGAAACCCTTCTAATAGCAAGCTTGGCAGAACAAAGGCATTTGTGGTAGAGAGTTCCAGAAGACAGTCTGAGAGAGTTTGGAGAGATTAAGTTTTAATTTATTGTTTACTTATTAATCGGGTTTATATAAATGGGACGTGTGTTTTTTCGAATAACATTCCAACAGAATTTAGTTCTGTTAGGGAACAATTAACACTTAGGGGAAACTTGTTTGGTTTATATTTCTCTTAATTTGTTCATTGTTAGGGTTAAATAAATAAATTGTTGTTTGCTTCTTATAAAGTGGAGATCATGGATTGACCTTCTTTTAACAACTTTTAACAGATTACGAGGGGAAAGGCAAGCTTCTCTGCATGCTCCGTGGGGGTAATTATTAAAGGGGAAGCCCTACTCCCATCATGACAGATTATGGCTTGTGTTTTAGTTTAATTATCAGAGAGGTTCGACTATTCCCCCTCCGTAACAATATGATTCTGCTGTTGTACATAATTTGTGAAATAACGTGAACTCGACTGAGAATTATACCAATAACTATTTCAATATTGTCAGGTTATAGTGTGATGTATTTGTGTGCACCAGAGCTACATATATTAAAACTCAGAGCACTTTTATGTAGGCAAAAGAGATTTGTATATATATTGCACGTTTTTCTTGAAAAACAGGGCTCATGGAGATAAAAAGTTCATCTCCTTTTAGCAACACTTTAGCTCTGTATTACCAAGCAATCAGTTATTCCTTTTTATACTATCAACTGAACAATCTGTATTCCCTCACTTTGCCCTCTTAATTGCCAATTTAGTATTTTTGAAATACAGTTCATGTTGGCAAAATGTTCCAAAGGCATCTTGCTACCATGTTATGCCAACTAAATATATTCTTAAACCAACAAGTTTCACAATGACAAAAGATTGCTCCATAGTATCCACTGTCATCAGAGTCTAATTAATTCTCCGACACATGTCTGGAGTCTGCAAGGTGTTTTTATTGGTAGAACTGGTAAGACTTTCTGGAACCTGCAAGTACATTTTCTTTTATTGTTGAAACGGTTAGGAATTTCAACAAGTGTATCAGCCTACCAGTCCTACTTATCCTCCCTTATGTGAATGCAGTCTGAGGAAAGGATGGACAAACAACTCACTCAACCAGACATTGGTAGCGTACAAGAATGAAAGAGAATTGGCAGAATTACTGTTCCAAATTTCTAGCCTACATCAACCAAGATTTCATTCCCTTACCCAAACTAGGTCCATATAGTACGACCCATCCCTCATTTGCAAACCTGAAGAAAATCAGAAAGGTCACATCTCTTTTGAGAGACCAGACACCTAGTAATAAAGTTTTCAAGAACTATCTAAAATTGCAATTAAGGAAAAGACCACCAATAAATTATATGTTATCTTTAAATAAACCAAGTGGAAAAAGATCATAACCTACATCTGTCAACGGATCATCAGCATCAAGGTTTGCTGCAGGTATCTGATCCAGACGCGGCCTCTTTGAAGATGATGTTGTGTGTTCTGCAAGAATAGCCGAAAAAGTTAGAAATTTTCAAACAAAGATAAATTTTGCTAAGTAGGTATCATTTCTGCCTTTCATCTGTCAGTCTTGACTCAACAGTACATAATGGAAAAGACGTAGGCCTATGGGGTTTCAGCCATATCCACAATTCAATAGGGTCATTGATAACCTTTTATCTCAGTTACACCTTACCTTTTATCCTACGTCCTTTGATTCCCTCTGTATCCAAAAAATTATAAACTTTTAACTTGAATATATTCAAGATGAACATATAGTTCTCTGGGCAGAGAATTCAAAAAGGTTCATGAACCTCATCTCAGTCCTAATTAATTGCCTTGTATTCTAAAACTGTAGCATTTAGAATCATAGAGTCATAGAGTATTCCAGGTGCCCACTCAGCTAGATTCAACTACTTGGATTTGGTCCATATTCTTCTAAACCCTTCCCAATCATGTACCTATCCAAGTGTTTTTTTAAAAAGTTGCTACTACACCTGCCTCAACCACTTTCTCTGGCAGCCCATTCAATTTACGTACCAATCTCTACGTGAAGGGGTTGCCCCTCAGGTCCTTCTTAAATCTTTTCCCTCTCACCTTAAACCTATGCCCTCCAGTTTTCAATTCCTCATCCCTGGGAAAAAGACTGTATGCACTCATCCTATCTATGCCCCTCATAATTTTATACATCTCAATAAGGTCACCCCTCAATCTCTTACATTCCAAGGAATAAAGTCCTATCCTGACAAACCTCTCCCTATAACTCAGGCCTACTAGTCCTAGCAACGCCCTCGTAAATCTTCTTTGCACAATTTCCAGTTTAATTATGTCTTTCCTATAACAGGGCGACCAAAACTGTACACAATACTCCAAGTACGGCCTCACCAACAACTTATACAAACTGTAACATAACATTCCAAATGCCTCGACTGATGAAGGCCAGCGTGCCAAATGCCTTCAATGGAGAGTGCAGGAGGATATGCCAAAAGCAACACCCACATACCTGAAAATGAGGTGTTAACTTGGAGAAGGTAGCAAACAGGGCTATACGCATGCCAAACAGCATAAGCAGCAAGTGATAGACAGAGCTAAGCAATCCCATAACCAACAGATCAGATCTAAGCTTTGTAATCCTGTTGTGAATGGTGGTGGATAATTGAAGAACTCACTGGAGGAGAAGACTCAACAAATATCCTCACCTTAAATGATGGGAGAGCCCAGCACATCAGTGCAAAAGAAGCTTTTGCAGCAATCTTCAGCCAGAAGTGCCAAGTAGATGATCCACCTTAGCCTCCTCCAATGGACTCCAGCATTACAGATACCAGTTCTCAGCTAATTCAATTGATATCAAGAAACGGTTGAAGACACTGGATGCTACAAAGACTACAGGCCCAGACAACATTCTAGCAATAGTACAGAAGACTGGCGTTCCAGAACTTGCTGTTTTCTTGGCCAAACTCTTCCTCTGCAGTTACAATACTGGCATCTAACCAACAATTATAGAAAATTGCCCAGATATGTCCTGTACATAAAAAGCAGGACAAATCCATCACAGGCAATTACTGCCCCATCAGTCTACTCTCAATCATCAGTAAAATTATGTTCATCAATAGTGCCATCACACAGCATCTGCTCAGTGACGCTTAGTTTGAGTTCCACCAGGGCCACTCAGCTCCTGATCTCATTACAGCCTTGGTTCAAACACGGACCAGACAGCTGAATTCCAGAGGTGAGGTGAGACCAACAGCTCTTGACAACAAGGCTATATTTGACCAAGCGTGGCATCAAGGAGCCCTACCAAAACTGGGATCAATGCGTATCAGGGGGCGAACTCTCTGGTGATTAGAGTCATACCTGACATGTAGGAAGATGGTCATGGTTGTTGGACATCGGTCATTTCAGCTCCAGGTCATCTCTGCAGGAGTTCCTCAGGGTAGTGTCCTAGGCCCAAGCATCTACAATTGCTTCATCAATGACTTTCCCTCCATCACACGGTCAGAAGTGGGGATGTTCGCCGCTGATTGCACAATGTTCAGCACCATTTGCGACTCCTCAGACACTGAAGCAGTCCGTGTTCAAATGCAACAAAATCTGAACAATATCCAGGCTTGGGCTGACAAGTCAGAGTCATAGAGTCCTACAGCACGGAGACAGGCCCTTCAGCCCAAACTGGTCCATGCCGACCAAAATGTCCATCCACGCTCACCCCATTTCCCTGCAGTTGGCCCATATCCTTCTAAACGTTTCCAATCCATCTATTCGTCCAAATGCCTTTTAAATGTTGTTAATGTACCTGCCTCAACCATTTCCACTGGTAGCTCATTCCATATGCGTACCACCCTCTGTGTAAAAAAGTTGCCCCTCAGGTTCTCATGTATTCTTTCCCCTGTTACCTTAAACCAATCCCCTCTAGTCCTCGATTCCCCAACCCTGGGAAAAAGACTGAGTGCATTCACCCTAGGGATGGATCTTATACACTTCTATAAGATCACCCATCAGTATCCTATGCTCTAAAGAAAAAAAGTCCTAGCCTGTCCAAGCCCTCTGTATAACTCAGTCCCTCGAGTCCTGGCAACATCCTTGTAAATTTCTTCTGCACTCTTTCCATTTTAAGAACACCCTTCCTATAGCAAGGTGACCAAAATTGAACACAATATTCCAACTCTACCAATGTCCTGTATAACTGCAACATAACTTCCTAACTTCTATACTCAATACCCTGACTGATGAAGGCCAGCATGCCAAAAGTCTTCTTCACTGCCCTGTTTATTTGTAACTCTACTTTCAGAGAACCGTGCACCTGAACTCCAAGGTCTCTCTGTTCCCCTACACTCCTAAGGCCCTACCATTCACCACGAAGCTCCTACCTTGATTTGACTTTCCAAAATACAACACCTCACACTTATCTATATTAAACTCCATTTGCCATTTCTTAGCCCACTGCCCCGGCTGACCAAGATCCTGCTGCAATTTCTGATAAAAATAAGTGGTACTGGGGACAGTGAGGAAGGTTATGTTATCCGCAAACTTACTAATCATGCCCTGTACATTCTCATCCAAATCATTGATATAGATAACAAACAGCAATGGGGCCAGCACTGAACCCTGAGGCACACCACTACTCACAGGCCTCCAGTCCAACAAGCATCCTTCCACTGTTGGTCTCTGCTTCCTACCACCAAACCAATTGTGCACCAATTTGTCCACTCTCCCTGAATTCCATGTGATCTAACCTTCCAGAGCAGCCTACCATGTGGAACCTTATCAAAGGTCTTACTGAAATCCATATAATCTACATTTACCACCCTGCCCTGATCAACCTTCTTGGTCACTTACTTCATCAAAGACCTCGAAAAAATTTGTCAGGCATGATCTCCCACTCACAAAGCTATGCTAACTACTCCTAATCAAACCCTGTGTTTCTAAATGTATGTATATCTTACCCCTCAGAATTCTCTCAAATAGCTTACTTACCACAGACGTTAAGCTTACTGGTCTATAATTCCCAGGTTCTTCTTTGCAGCCATTCTTGAATAAGGGCACAACATTCGCTACCTTCCAGTCTTCCAGGACCTCACCCATGGCTAGTGATGATGCAAATATATCAGCCAGGGACCTCATAATTTTTTCTCTAACATCTTGCAGGGTTCTTGGATATACCTATTCAGGACCAGAAGATTTATCCACCTTCATATATTTAATACTTCCAACATCTCCTTTACTGTGATATGGACTGTCCCCAAGATACTGCCACTAACTTCCCCAAGTTCCCAAGTCTTCACGTCAAGTGGCAAGTAAGATTTATGCCACACAAATGCCAGGCTATGACCCTCATCAATAAAAGAAAATTGAATTACTATTCCTTGACATTCAATGGTTTTACCCTCACTGAATTCACCTGCTATCAACATCCTGGAAGTTATCATCGACCAGAAACACAAGTGGACCTGCCACCCTAAAATAGTGGCTATAAAAGAGCAGGTCAGAGGCTAGGAATATTGCATAAGTAACTCACCTCCTGAGTCCCAAAGTCCATCCAACATCTACAAGGCACAAGTCAGGAATGTGATAGAATACTCCCCACTTGCCTGGACAAGTGCAGCTCCAACAACAGCCAAGAAGCTTGACCACATCCAGGACAAAGCAGCCTTCTTGACTGGCACTACATCCACAAGCATCCACTCCCTCACCACTGATGTTCATTATCAGCAATGTGTAATATCAATTCGACACACTGCAGAAATTTACCAACGATTCTCAGGCAGCACATTGCAAACCCACGACCACTTCCATCTAGAAGGACAAGGGCAGCAGATATGTGGACACACCACCACCTTCAAGTTCCCCTCCAAGCCACTCACCATCCTGAGTTGGAAATATATCGCCATTCCTTCACTGTCTCTGGATCAAAATCCTGGAATTCCCACCCTAATGGCATTGTGGGTCAACCCACAGCAGGTGGACTGCAATGGTTCAAGAAGGCAGCTCACGGCTACCTTCTTAAGGGCAAGTAGGATGGGCAATAAACGCTAGCCAGCCAGCGATGCTCATATCCCACAAACAAATAAAAAAATGATCATACACACCTCACACCACGTAAAAACATTCTGCTTTTCAGTATTTACTGCCAAAGTGAATGGGGAAAGAAACAGGAACGGGGTACTGAGTTGGATGATCAGCCATGATCATATCGAGTAGCAAAGCAGGCTCGAAGGATCAATCGACATACTCCTGCTCCTATTTTCTATATTTATATATTTCTGCAACAAATTCATATTTGTTCACTAAGTCCCACTACACAGTCTTTAACCTTCAACCTCGGCAGACACTGCAAAACAATATTGTGGGAGATATTAGGAGATGAAAGATATCTATGGAAGAGAAAGGGGTCAATATTTATCTCTCAAACAAAACCGAAAAGATCTTTTTGGAGATAATTAGCAACTGGGGCTTTGCTGTATGTAAATTAGCTACAGTGATTACAATAGTATCCATACTTCAAAGCTACTTAATTGGTAAGAAGGGCTTTGAGGCACCCTATGATCACATAAATATAGAATCACTGTGTCTGTGCTCTCTGCAAAAGCATCTCTCATTCCCCTTCTTTTATTCCCTGTAGCTGTGCAAATTTTCTCTATTCAGATAATTATGCAATTCTCTTTGAATTCCACAATTGAATATACAACACCACAGATTTATAAGGCCTTTTTCCCAACCTAGTGTGCCCTTGCCTGCATCATCTTTCAGTTGCAATAAATGGTAAGGAGAATATCACAATATTTCATAAATACTGCATTGTCAGCTGACAACACTGCTACGTGTGAGATAAGATATACAAGCACTAAGGATAAATATTGATCTCATTCACCAGCTACTGAGCATAGACTGACCACAGCTGGCCAAATCCTGCATCAGATATGTTAACCCCCTTCCCAATTTGCCTCTCTGCATTGCATCTAGGCAATAATTGATAAGTATGATTGAGGATGAAAATTTATCCACAAAATGTTATATTTTGTCCCTCACTGTTACACCAAGCTAGGGGCACGTGCTCAATTATAAAAATAGTGCAACTCAATCTTAGTTGTTCCCAAAATAATCATAAAGGAGACAGGACAAAATGTCCAGGGTGACATTCTCCTCATCCATGTGACCATGTAACCAAGTGTTTGCTCTGCACATTACATTACTGTACGGGTACAATTCACCTCTTGGCTATGAAGGAACAATAGTCACAAATCTTCATTGCACAAATCCAACATTGTATAGGTTCTCAAACATATGCCCAAACAATGTCACTCTTGATGCGAGGCATCCTATCTAATAGCCTTGCAGAAAAGTAAAATACATTTATTGGACAAATGCAACAGTTGCTTTGTGCATAATCATAGCTCTAGATGTTAATCTAAACATGCATATGGGTTGACAGGAATCACAGAATCATACAGTACAGAAGAATCTCTTCGGCCCATCAAATCTGTATGGACAAGAAGATACACGACAACCTACACTAGTTCCAATTTCACACACTAGGCCCATGCTTTGAACGTTATGACACTTCAAGTGCTCATCCAAATATTTTTTAAAGGTAGTGCAGTTATCCGCCTCGATTACCATCCCAGGCAGTCCACTGCAAATCACCACCAGCCTCTGGGAGAAAATATATTTCCTCAAATCTCCTCTAAACCTCCTGCGTTTCACTTTAAAATTGTGCGCCCTTGTTGTTCACCCATCGACTAAGGGGAACAGTTGCTTTCTTTCCATCCTGCTTCTGCTCCTCATAATTCTACACATCTTAATCAGAAGCCCCCTTAACCTTTACTGTTCCAAAGAAAACAAAACAGCTTCTCTTCATATCCATCCCAGACGACATTTTAGTGAACCTGCTCTGCACCCATCCAGTGCAATCACATTCATCCTATAGCGTGGTGACAAGAATTGCATACTGTACTCCAGTAATGGCCTAGTGAAACTTCCGTACAGCTCCAACATAACCTCCCTGCTCTTAAATCTATGCCTCGTGATAAATGTAAGTGTCCCATATGCCTTCATGACTAACCTATCAAACTGCCCAGCCATCTTCAAGACTAGCACAGCAAGATCTTTCTGTTCTTCTGTGCTTCCTCATGTCATGCCATTCATTGAGGAAATTCACATTTCAGTTAGGTTCTGATGTGAAACAGCAATATAAAGGTTGAGGACTGTTTTACTAAAATAGAAACACAAGTATCAGTAATGCTAGGCTTGTGACAACTTGCCAAGATTGAATCTAAAAGTTAAATGCTCTTCAACAACTAGTTCAAAATTATTCATTTCTTCAATTCCACAGCCCCAATAATCCGAGAGAGAAGAAGATCTCCAAGCAGGAAAATTAATTGCATAATGTTAAATTTCAAGTTCAAGGTAAAATGATTTGACACCACAGTTGGTCACAAACGAACTTCTGCAGTTCAATATTTTTCAGAAAACAAATTTGAACATCAGTGCAACTCCCTAATTTTGGAAATAAACATTGTGTACCTCTGGGTGGTCGGTCCCTATTCTTCTCACGTATTGCCACTCGTTCTCTCTCCTCCAGTTCCCTGCGGAAGTCACGACTACGCAGCTCTTCAGGGACATCCTGGGTTGGTTGCCTATATACAGGTTGTACAAATACTTACATCATTTGCAGAATTTTGTTTTTAATATTACATCAAGTTCAAAACAAATTTGTATAAAAGCTATATTTAGGCTAGCAGAGTTATCCATACTGGAGAACCAGAGCAATTTGAATTCAGAGTATATCAATTTCAACCAACCAGAGATCTGTCATGAACTAATTGGATTGGCACACCTTACAATGGTAAATCCAAGTTGGAACTTTATAATGAGGTCAGTCACATGCTAGCAGATATGCTTTGCAGTGGCTAGCTCAAAATGGAACTGGCAAACATCTTATAATACCGCTTGTATAAACACCTTTACAGTGAAAATATCTGATGTACTTATTCTACAAAGGGGAATGAGGAGGGAAATGTAATTAGGTAATATAAACAGAATATCTTAACTAGAGACATTAACAAATCCTGTGATTTTCAAAACTGTAAAATGTATGATTTTACTCACGATGAGGAAAGGTGAAACAAGAATCAGTTTCTTGAGCTCATTTAATTAGATATTAGAGTAGAGACAACCCTGGTAATTATAGACCAGTGAGCCTTACTTCAGTTGTGGGTAAAGTGTTGGAAAGGATTATAAGAGATAGGATTTATAATCATCTAGAAAGGAATAATTTGATTAGGGATAGTCAACACGGTTTTGTGAAAGGTAGGTCGTGCCTCACAAACCTTATTGAGTTCTTCGAGAAGGTGACCAAACAGGTGGATGAGGGTAAAGCGGTTGACGTGGTGTATTTGGATTTCAGTAAAGCATTTGATAAGGTTCCCCATGGTAGGCTATTGCAGAAAATACGGAGGCATGGGATTGAGGGTGATTTAGCGGTTTGGATCAGAAATTGGCTAGCTGTAAGAAGACAGAGGGTGGTGGTTGATGGGAAATGTTCATCCTGGAGTTCAGTTACTAGTGGTGTACCTCAAGGATCTGTTTTGGGGCCACTGCTGTTTGTCATTTTTATAAATGACCTGGATGAGGGCATAGAAGGATGGGTTAGTAAATTTGCGGATGACACCAAAGTCGGTGGAGTTGTGGATAGTGCGGAAGGACGTTGCAGGTTACAGAGGGACATAGATAAGCTGCAGAGCTGGGCTGAGAGGTGGCAAATGGAGTTTAATGCGGAAAAGTGTGAGGTGATTCACTTTGGAAGGAGTAACAGGAATACAGAGTACTGGGCTAATGGTAAGATTCTTGGTAGTGTGGATGAGCAGAAAGATCTCGGTGTCCATGTGCATAGATCACTGAAAGTTGCCACCCAGGTTGATAGCGTTGTTAAGAAGGCGTACAGTATGTTAGGTTTTATTGGTAGAGGGATTGAGTTTCGGAGCCATGAGGTCATGTTGCAGCTGTACACAACTCTGGTGCGGCCGCACGTGGAGTATTGCATACAGTTCTGGTCACCGCATTATAGGAAGGATGTGGAAGCATTGGAAAGGGTGCAGAGGAGATTTACCAGGATGTTGCCTGGTATGGAGGGAAGGTCTTATGAGGAAAGGCTGAGGGTTTTGAGGCTGTTTTCGTTAGAGAGAAGAAGGTTAATAGGTGACTTGATAGAGACATACAAGATGATCAGAGGATTAGATAGGGTGGACAGTGGGAGCCTTTTTCCTCGGATGGTGATGGCTAGCACGAGGGGACATAGCTTTAAATTGAGGGGTGATAGATATAGGACAGATGTCAGAGGTAGGTTCTTTAGTCAGAGAGTAGTAAGGGCGTGGAATGCCCTGCCTGCAAAAATAGTAGACTCGCCCACTTTAAGGGCATTTAAATGGTCATTGGATAAACATATGGATGATAATGGAATAGTTTAGGTTAGATGGGCTTCAGATTGGTTTCACAGATCGGCGCAACATCGAGGGCCGAAGGGCCTGTACTGCGCTGTAATGTTCTATGTTCTATGTTCTATATTTTCTAATCAACTTGTTCAGGGATATCATTACACACTCTGCAATATGTGGGTCTTGAATCTAGGACCATTTAACAGCTTTTCTCCCATCACCAAATCACTCCTTGGTTTTTTTTTTCCAATCAATTAACCACCCAG